CAAAGTCAAACTGTTTAATATAAGAGCAATGAATGATATTCTCTACAAAAATAGGTTTGAAGGATTGAATTCATAGGTTGTATATTAAGTTATTTTACTCTTATCTATTGTTTGTATTCTTTTTGTTGCCTGCTATCACAACGTCCTCAAGGTGAACTTTGGTGATGGCCCATTGTCCGTGCGTCATTTCGTGCGTTCTTTAAGCAATTTCTCCTCTGAAACCACTAAGCCACATTTGTTGAAACTTTGCAGGGATGTTCTATGCATAAAGCTCTACCAAAAGTTGTTCAAAGGATTAGATTCCATAAAGAACACTGGTTGCCATGGCAACCAAAAGATTATCTTACAAAAAAATCTTTAAAATCTCCTTGTAAAAAAATCGAGATAATTAGAGCTTAGACATTTGGCATGAAACATTTTCTAGTGGATGTCTACCAAGTTTGCTCAAAGAAATGCCCTTAGGTTAAAATTGGCCCGTCCCCAGAAGTCATTCATTTTCCTTATATATATAGAATAATAACTTAAAAAATATTCTTGTGAATATCCATAAGAGCTGCAGCTAAGATATTTGGCATGAAACATCTTCTGAAGGATGTCTACCAAGTTTGTTCAAATTAAAACCCTAGGATCAACATTGGCTCAACCCCAGGAGGTCATTTATTTTCCTGATATATACATGTTTATAGTAAAAACTTAAAATCTCCTTGTGAGAATCCAAAGAAGCTAGAGCTTGGATATTTGGCATAAAACATCTTCTAGTATATGTCTACCAAATTTGTTCAAATAAAAGTCCTACGGTCAAAATTTGCCCGGCCCAGGGGGGTCATTTATTTGCCTTTTATGTATAAAATAAAACTTTTAAAAATCTCCTTGTGAAAATCAAAGAAGATGTAGAGCTTAGATTTTTGGCATGGAACATGTTCTAATGCATGTCTACCATGCTTATTGAAATAAAACCCCTATAGTCCAAGAAATCCGTGCATAAAAAAGGGTTAATTTTGCACCTCTTGTGAAAAGCATGAAACTTGGCATGGTGGCAGGAAATCGTATTTCAATTCATTTCAGCCTGGGATCCACTTTTTAAAAATCCAATATGGCCGCCAAAATCCAAGATGGCCGCCATATATTAAATTTTCAGAATAATTGGGTATTTCAGCTGTAGTCATAACTAGAACTGTATGAAATAGCACCAATTCATTAAATTACACATCAATTTTTATTCAAGCCCTCTGATTCAGGTTGTGCAAATCCAAGATGGCCACCAAAATCCAAGATGACCACCATATATTAATTTTTTCAAAATACATTTATTGAAGTTTTACAGCTGTAGTCATTACAGGTCAGTATGAAATAGCACCAATTCATTAAATTATACATCAAGTTATATTCAAGCCTTGGACCCAGGTTGTGCAAATCCAAGATGGCCGCCAAAATCCAAGATGGCCACCATATATTAAAGTTTTACAGCTGTAGTCATTACAGATCAGTATGAAATAGCACCAATTAATATATTACACATTTATATATATTCAAGCCTCGAATACAGGTTGTGCAAATTCAAAATGGCTGCCAAAATCCAAGATGGCCACCACATTAAAATTTTCAGAATGTTATAGTTTTCAGCTGTTGTTGTCATTACAGAACAGTATTAAATAACACCAATTTATAATTATTGTATTACATAACTACATATTTATTTTGTTCAAGCCTCGGATCTAAGTTTATATTAGAAATTTATTTGGTTATTTTAGTTTACCAGCTGTAAACATTTTCAAATTAGTATAAAATAGCATAGAACATTATATTACACGCTTTTTTAGCATATCAGCTTGTAGATAATATATTTATTGAGATATTAACATGGGTGCCAAAGTAAAATATGGCCGCATAACCTAATATAATTATGAAACTGTTTTAAAAACATCCATTTCATATTGAAACATGCTCATAATTAAACTGTCTTAGATTTATTTTCTCAAAGCATTTTTACTTGGTTTAAGAACAAAATAAAAGAAACAAAAGTACTTTAAATAAAAAATGGGAGTTAAACCATCTCATAATTTCACTACCTGCCCTTGAAATTAGAAACTCTTTGCTAGTTATAGATAATTTCAAGGGCAGGCAACTTGCAATCAAACTAAGCTGAGCCTTATTTCAATGAATTAATATGTAGCTGACCTCCCATTTGGTCATTTTGCAAAAGTTAAAGGAATGGTATAGCACCTTTCGTATATTCTTACTAACAGCTATCAATCCCCCCCCCCAGCAAAACACTTCATAATAATAATAATTTCATAGGATTCTAGGCTATGAAATTTGTATTTTGATAACAATAAAAGGTAAAACGTAACCAAAAACTACTTAAAACTTAGATAAAAAAGCCACCATCTGTAATATCAAGAAATACATATTCTTTTGAAAGGCTTTATCTGGCATTTCGACTGCTATAAAATATAAAAGGAAGAAATAAACAAGAAATTTAAGAGCGTTGCCCCTAGAATACAGCCCTTACATTCACAGTAGTCAGAAAGTTAGTAGGCAAATCTTACAAATGGAATCTCATATCAAAATTATCAAATATAAAGAGCTGTAAAGTCAAAACTTGATCTCATATTAAATCATGAATGACTAATGTTAATAATGCCAAAAAATAGAGAGAAATAAGAATCCCTAAAGAAAGCCCAACACGGCACAATTGAAAATGTTGCAGGCTCGGTTAGATTGAGCCTGTTCATGGACGGTACTGTCAAGTGCAAACTACCGACCACGCCCCCTAGCACCGGCTATAGCAGAATTCAACATTTAACATGAACTGGTAAAATTTAGAATTTTGAAACATCCGCAGATGTGTTCATATGGCGGTTATCATGGAACCATCAATGTGACGCGTTAGTGCTATTCCATGAAAAGCGGCATATGGTCCCCAAGTAAAAGAATGCGTGTGCCCTAAAGAGAAAACAATGGGCGGAACTAAATAAAATGGAATTTTGAAATGGGGATCAGAGGTTATGAAGCCTGCATATCACAGATACGACGTCAAAAGGACAAATTTAAAAAGCAGGCCACATATCCTAAGGGTGATTCAATAGTATTCAAGTGAAGAATACTGGAACCTGCCAACAAGAAAGATGCCAAAGAGAAAGAACGAAAAAAACACAAGCACAACAATAATGTCGTGCTGAACGATCTTAAAATGATCGGAAATATAACATCCCTGTGGATTGTACAGGGCGACTTAGTTTGATCAAACACTTAGTTTGATTACCGAAAAACCCAAGATAATTTTGTGTTCAATATTATTCTGATTTTCTAATTTATTCACAATGCCTTGCCAAAATAATGCCATAATAAGAGCTTGATTCCGTTATCTATGACACAAAATATGCTGCTCAAACTACTTATGATAAAAAAGAACTCGTAGCTGCAGTAAGACGGTCACAAGGATGCTGAAAACTACAGTTTTTAAAAAGAATTGACAGGAAAAGAAACGTATACGTCTTCCGACACTAGTATAATTAGGAATTGTCTGCACTTAAATATACCATACAATAGAGGATTATTTCACCCTTTTCATGCATTTACATCTAAAGAAGCGCTAGGATCCATTTAAAGCCCTCATCCTATGGGCTCGGGATTTAACTTCTGCAGATGTGGATGCACAAAAACATGTATTAGAGTCATTCTTGTATAAAAGGATATGACTGTTTCGTTGATTCTACGATATGTTGTTTTCCACATAAAACTTGTTTCGTATTGATTTTAACTCGCTTGTGTGTTATGTTTTGATAGTATGGTAACTGGGGGCCATCGTTAAAATTAGCGGTTAGCATGGTACCAAAATCATGTACATTAATAAGAGCCATTATAAATTTATTGGCCTTTAATAGTGACCTTATATTATGCTTATAAATAAGTGTATTAGGTGTATACCTATTTCATTATGTAATTTTTACAAAACCAATTTGCATGTAAAACCTTAGCTAAACGACTTTTGTCTAAAATATCGCTCCCTATTCTTCGATATATAAAGCTAAATAATGTGCTAACATGGTTTTATCCATGTATGCAAGTTTTTTCTCTGTGAATGTACACCTGTGTGTGCAGGATGGCTTGTTTATTTATGTGTTATATGTTTGAAAAATGTTGGTCATATAAATTATCCATATCATAGAAAATTGTCCAAAAATCATTATTTAATGGCGGCCATCTTGGATTTGGAAGCTTGGATATCATTTTTTCATGCCGTAAATAAATTCATTTTGTCATGTCCCATGTACATTGTATATTTTGGCGGCCATCTTGGATTTTGGCGGCCATCTTGGATTTTTAAAAAGTGGACCCCAGGCTGATATGAATTGAAATACTATTTTCTGCCACCATGCCTAGTTTCATGTTTCTCACAGAAGGTGCACAATTATTTCACTGATTTCTTAGACTACTAGGGTCAAAATTGGCTCAACCATAGGTCGACAGTTCAATCCCCAGCTAGGTCAAGTGTTTGTAATCTTTTAATAAGCACACCTCTCACAGTGACAGGCTTAACTGTTTAATAACATGGCTACCAGAGCTTAAATAACAAAATAAGATTTAAACAACATCTAAGCCATTGGTTCAATTTTGAAATAATTTTTACACAAACATTTTCTTGGCGACAGTGTATAATAATTGTTCAGGTTAAACTGTCTCTTGTTTTCAAATTGTGCTTTTGAGGTGACAAGTGGCTCCACTTTGACCGTTTGATCTATTTCTCAGGTGATCGATCAAGGGCCCTCTCAGTCCTCTTGTTTGATTTTTGCTCTATCTTTATTCAAGTGTTTACCTGAAGTAAAGATAAAACTCTTGTTTGTTTTAATGTACAGTTATCAAATCAGTGATTTTGGCAACCGTGTGTAAAGTCTTCCGTGTGTAAACAATCGAGATAACATTTTATCCTGTAATTTATCACTAGCGTTATAATATCATGTAAGCGAGATAGTGTTGTGGATATTAATACGGTTGCTATAATATCATGCACCATTTTAAATAAATTTTTAAACTAACCTTTTCAGATTTTAGTTGAAACTCGTGTACATTTGGAATAACCTATTGCAGTTAATATTCTCGCGGGCGGCTTAATCGAAAGTACTTGAAGTAAGTGTGCAGTCTATACTATGTCTCCAAAATTTATATGATGTCATGCTTACGTACATTTTTTATTCTTTTTTTTTACTTTGCCTAACACTGTAAAGGTAATATGGCGACGGTGACTTTCAAGCTTTACTGGGGAAGACCTATGTCTTCTTACATGATTCCAGGCACATTTGTTTGTTTGTTTGTTTGTTTGTTTGTTTGTTTCATTTTACGCCTTTTTCCAACAGTATTTCAGTCATATAGGCGGGTAGTTTCCTAACCATCGTTCCTGGAGAGTTACACCAGTACTAGACTATCTTCCTCCGCGCTAAATTTCCAAAGCATCTCCCGGGGATCGAACCCACGCCAGAGAGGTAACTGGATTAGAAGATCCATAGATCTATGGCACAAAATACAGGCAAATGTAGATCTTGTTATAGATAGAAATATATCAACAATTTTAGGTACAAAATAAATGAATTCAAAAATCTATTTCCCGTACTATACTGTTATGGTGACACGTTTGTTTCTGTCCCTTGTTGTTTTCTCGTCTACGGTAAGTATCTTCCCTTTGGCCCTAGTTATTTTTTTTAATTTTGCCTCTCCCTGCTCGAATCTCGAGTCCCCTTTCCCTGAGCCTTTGACTTCGTGGCCTATAAACTGATGAATGATTTGTTTCTTCAATTTTCTTGTCGGTTACTATTATTTCTTTTTAAGTATGTTTAAGTGACAGTTCTGTCCGCACTCTGCCCTGTTTTCGTTTGAGGTTGTCCTGGGCTTCTTGCCGCTGGTTCTTGTTGCTGAGTCGTGTGGTGGTTGCGTGTATTGAACGCCGCCTTTCCTTGTTAAAATTTTAACGTTTCCATAATCATGATTTCGATCTTATTTGTAGTTTTGTATGTTAAATATTCTTTAAATAACATTTATATTCCTTTTCTTTATAAAGTCATGCCGTTGTATTTGTTTTGATGTCTAATGAGAATTTTAAGTAGATAAAAAAGTAAAAACATAACCGATAAGATGAATGTATTTTATGATGTTCGAATAATGTGACTAGAACTGTTCATTTAAATAAAATAAACATCTTACTTATTTTAAATAAATAATTATAACAATCAATAACACATGTTTGCCATTTCTACCGAAACAAAATCATCTCTGAGATATGTTGTGCTTTAAGATGATATAAACTGAAATATAGCAATAATTATAAAACATATTTGATATATACACCTTTAATGTATAAGTCAACATTTTGCTGTAACAAAATAAATTGCATAATTACCTCTATAAACATCCTTGCTAGATTAAAAGATGGTATAAGCAACAATATAACATAAATTGAATGTAACACAATTTAATACAAATTTGTTTTTTGTTTTACTCCAGAATGTTCAAAACGCCTGAATACAGTAAGAGACTGTCAATGAAGTTATCTCAGGTGTTTGAGGATATTGGAGTAAATGAGAAGATGGTGATAAAAAGAAGAAGAGCGTTCATGCTTATAGAGAGTATCGAAACAGTCTCAAATGGTAACGATTGTACTACGTATTACTTTGGTAGTCAATCTGAGGGAACAACTACACTAGAACTTGGTTCAGATGTTGACACGATGATTGTATATCATACGGATAATGTTATTCAGGAGTTACCAGAATGGAGACACAATAAGAACAATTTTCTAATGATACAAGACGAGAATGTAACGCCAGGGTATTGTTTCTTACAACTGTTAAGATACGATTTTCCTTTCCCTGTGACAACCATTCCAAATGATGAGTTCTTCCGTGATAAGAATCGTAGGATATTATTAAAGAATACAATAAGGAGTGGAATAATTCGTGACAATTCTGAGCGACACGGGCCGTCCGAAGCTTTAGCCGGTCGAGAAGGTTACATTGATACGGATCTCGTTCGTGCTCTTCCTTGTTTTTCATGGCCAAAATCTGCATCTCACTTTTTAGAACAAGGGACAAGAAAATGGCCATTTAATGAAATGATAAGATATGCTACTAGCAATGGGTGTTTTGTTGTTGGCGCTTCAAGCAAAATAGCTGTCCACTCAAATTTAGAATGGAGAATTTCTACATCTTTAGCAGAAAGATGTTTCATGTTTAATTTAAATTTAACACAGTTACAGTGTTATGTTTTATTGAAAATAATATTGAAAACCTTCCTTAATACTAACAAAACAAATGAATTGTCAAGTTATATGTGTACGACATAATACAAAACGAACAACATTTTTGGAAACGTGAAAATCAGTTTGAATGTTTAAAATTATGTCTTAATGATTTATATGATTGTGTCCAAAATGAAAATTGTCCACATTTGATTTTTCTGAAAACAACTTGATGACAGGGAAATTAACAATGGAAACAAAACAGGATATTTTAAAAAATATAACGTGTTTTTTGAGGGATGGTAAACATTTATTCAAAATACAAATTGATGACATAGGTCATAGACTTCGAGTTAAATTGAATAATATTTCCAAATTAGCTTACAATTTAACTCCAATAAATATATATTATAAATGCTCGTTTCATCTTTACCGAAACATAACGAATGATATTAGCTATAAAGTGCTTTGTCTCTTGAACTTTAATAAAGACATAACAGCATGCAAGAATGCTATTTTAAATTTGAAATGCAGTTTAAGTAGAAGCGGAAGCAAACTTGAACAGGTGGCAAGTAAATTGCTCATACCGTTTCTTTGTTCGTCGCTTGGATCGATGATTGTGTCATCAAATATTGGACAAAATAGTCCAGTGCCATTCAAAACGATGTGTTTGTTCGATTTAGGATTAAACTCAGATGTCACATCTGGTAGACTAAAGCTAGCATCAGTGTTCTATTCAACAAATTATTGGAATATAGCAGAGGCTATTCTGCGGTTTACAAAAGAAAGGTATGACACTGACGTTATTGAACCTTTATGTGCCTGCTGGCCGCATTAACTTCGAATTCATAAGAAAATGCAGCAGGCAACGTGAAGATTGCCTCAACAAGATCACATCATATTGCATCAGATTCGCAAGGAGTGAAAAAAACTGTGTTCCTCGAGAATTACAGTATGAAATGTGGAGATCAACACGAGATGACATCCCATTTAGAAGTATGTATGAAAGAAAATGGATGGACTTTGCCGTCGTTGATTCACGCCCTTATATTTTTTTTCTACAATACAAGACATATGGTAATTTACAAAGACGACAAGATCAACAACTTGCTCTCAGTGACCTATTAATCACTATTCACCTCAGTGCAAAATTTGGTCATAGAGAGACGGCTTTGAACTTACTCGGCCAGTGTATGGAACAGGAGTCTAGACTGGTTGAGGCATTACACTATTACTTGATGTCTCTGAAACAAAGACAAAGAAACAATGCAGCAAAATGGCATATTTTTATTGCACTTGCAAAGTACTTCTCTCACTTGTAATTTCTTGCGAAGAAATTATAAATATAACATTGATGGACATGTTAAAGGAAAACACAAACCTATATACAACATGTAACTATTGTTAAGATCTACTAGAGAAAGAGTTTTTTTAATTGTTAATTCAGAAACTCCATCATAGCTACAAAGTGGTCAGGAAGCATCCCCAGTTTTTCACACAATCACAGAAATAATATATATGGATGGCAAAGATATACATTGTGTTAGTTTGTGAAACATTAATGTAAAGCAAGATGTTCATAAACATTTTATAAAAACAATCCTATTAATCATTATTTTCTTTGATACTGTAATGCCATTTGCCTTTAGAATGACGGACAATTTTATTAACATTATTGGAAGGTTCTAAGTATGAATACAATTGTCAATTTTAGTGTGATTTCAGAGAGGTTATTGTAATTTGTATTAAGATATGTAAGAAGGCCCATGTTCAAACAATCCGTAAAAAAACTTCCATTCAAGGGTTCCATTAGATATATTAACCATATACTATGTTGTATTTATTCTTGATTATATTTTAGAAAAGAAAATAACTTACTTAATGTTGATACTTTGCAACATTATTTGAAAGGAATATATTTTATGTGGCCTCTGAAATGAAAATCACCATTATTTTCTACACTACAAGTCTATATAACCTAAGTGAACCCTGGGGCATGATAATTAAACGTGTTTTTTTTCAGGTACACTTGATAATGATTCAAGCCAATCTAAACTGTAGGCATTGCCGATCAACCAAAGAAGATATAAATTTATTTTCTTTCAATATAAGCCTAGTATATTAACATAGTGAACCTCGCGGCATAGTTAATTATAAACACATTTATTATCATATATATTTTCATCTATTTTAATTTCAGGACCCCGCTGTACAGATCAGAAAATTAAGATAGCTTTGGCTGATATCGTTGATTAAATTAGCAAAACACATCTTTTACAGGCACATAACGCAAATATAAGCATTCGATCCGAAATCGTCAATTTGTTACTTATATCATACTTTTTTAACATACATAGTTAGAAAAATGATTTCTTTTTTCACTTTGCCTATGTAAACCGCCGCACTAGTACACGAACTTTTGTAAACATCGCTCGTATAAACAAATACTTTTTTCTATATATTAAATCTTAAAACGAAATATCAGTTCAACTTAATTTGCTGTTTATATTTTATCTAAAATGTGAAAACGGTTAAACGTAATTTGCTTTAAAAATGATTATCTTACCTTGAATTGTAATATCAGTTCAACTAAACAATATGTTAAAGCAAATTATCGTGTTTTGCAGTCACTTCTTTTAAAGTACTGACCATTAAATTATTATACAGCAGTATTTCTGATTGATTTGAGATAATAATGATAAACCAAAAAAATATTGATATGAAGATTTATACAATTGAATGACCCGACAGTTATCACGGCTTGTAAACTCTTCTTAAATCTTTTTTTTATAAGAATAATGATGCAAAAATACGAGCTCTGTATACTTTAAAATGTGCTTGACCTCCGTGGCTTCCTTTAACACTATTTAACTGATAGAGATGACAATGTCTTTTTTGTAGTTTTATAAGGTATAAACCAAGTTCTTTTTCTAACTTCTTCAACTCACTTTAACAATATTCTAGTGCAATTAAGTGCTTTCTTCTGAGTCTCGGGGTTATGAGCCTTCAGAGATTGGTGTACATACATATGTTAAAATGTGTTCAACTAGAAATGACTCTATATCATACATTCATTTTTTTAGAAGAACAGGTATACGAATCAAGGAGAAGGAATTTATAATACTTATCCATACGCTATAATCATATGTTTGAAATGTAAACATGTTTTATTTGTATTGTAAATGTTTAATTATATGTAAATGTATGTATTCTGGAAATAAAAATGTTTAAAGGTTTAAATACCAGACAAATTTGTTAACACTGATTGTAAACATGTGTGCCTTCTGGATGTTAATCCGAAAGTAACGTCTAATCATATCACGACAGCCACCCTTTTACAACCTTTCTTTGATAACGAGCAAGTAGTTACTAATTTCGCTGCGAGTGACTGGCTACTAATCTTCATCAGCGGTCCTAGAAATGTCACAAAAACATTCGTGACGTGTCCACTAGAGAAATGTAAGATTTGGTGATCTATGCCTACGTTGTTATTGCTGCGTTTAATGGTTGCTCCCTGGCTTTCAAAAAGACGATTTATAAGAGGATTTATGGTGATTTTTTTAACATAAAATATTACTAATAAAAGAGAAGATTAATGTATTGAGTGACAGTGTGCAATGAAATTGATCTAGGACATATCAACTGAGTCCACGAGTTGTTCCTTTTATGATCAAGTAAAATCAATATCTCTTATGCTAAAGAAAGATAAATTTAGCTGTTTCTAAACTGCTAGTTTGATACGACTTAATGCCCGATTCTTAAATCTATTACACCAACGAACGAAATGCTCGTGATCCTAGCTTTGTGTCAATATATTTTAACACATCGTTTGACACTAAAGGTATTTAAATTGACTTTTAAACCTACCACAAGTGAGACCATTTTACATAACATTTATATCGGAGATACACAACAGGTTATTTTTACCCGCTCAACTACTAACAAGTAGAGATTTTGATGCTAAAGCATCAAGTCGCCGGATAGAAAAATGGTTGTATTATCATAAATATAAGAAAATATAAGTTTAATGGTTCAAGTATAAAAAAAAGAGGAACAATGAGTTGAGTAATGTTTGCCACTGAGGCTTGTATAAGGCAAGTGCTATGCTGGTGATTCTTCTTGTAATTATTGTACTTTATACATATACTGTTGTACCATACATTGAAATCCGTATAGGTTATACTAGTTCAGATTCAGATAATTACCGACAAATAATTACCGATCATCGAATATTTGCAAAGTGACTATGAAAAAATATATGTTTAATTATTACATGAAACAATACAATTTTACTGTAAAAGTGTTGTACATCATTATTATGTGCTATAGGAAAAATATATAATTTAGTTGAAATCCATACACGTATTCCAATCGTTACATACGATATATAAAATTAACGTTTAATTGCCTTTCAGTGCGATAAAATATCAACACAAAGATAGTTTGTTTTTTTTCTATGTATCTAATACGATTCCGAACCCCTGACGTCATACCGTTTTGGAAACCTGCGTGACGGAAACCGACGGAATATACCGAAATCAACTATTTCAATAATGTGCCTCTTAAGCATAACATTATTTTGGGATGTTCAACCTAAACTAAACAATTGAACTTTCTTGTCGAATGTTTGACAGAAAGGGCCAAGTTAAACCCTTTACCAAGAAGAAAGGAAAAGGTTTTGAAAATGTATTTTTAATGTAAACAGGTTTCTCTTATGATATAAAGTATGAACCTGATTAATGAAAAATAACTTATGTAATTATCTGTACAAAATTACAATGATTTACATCTTATCAGTTACCACCATTAACAAGTTACCTGTCTTATCAGCTATCTGTAACTATTAATAGATTTTATAACGATATACAACATAATATATAAACATGTAGTCACGTGATTCTTACGAAAGACCAGGGAGCATTTGTTTATAATTAGATAAAATAATGTAATATAAAAGGTCTCATAAAAATTAAACAACCAAATAATTCTAAAGTGTCATTTCAAATATCATTCATGATTTATTTATTATAAAATAACAATGCTTGACACATAGAAAAAAGTAAAAGTATCTCTAATATTCAATGACTGATCCTTGGGGATACGTT